AGTTCTAGGAATTTCATATACTAAACAGCAGCAGTCATTTCACACTTAACATTTTCATTACAGACAGAAACAGCTACTGGCAATACAAGCCTCAATACCTTTAGACGTGATCATCTCTACTGTTATGTTGCCTTCACATAGCCTCTGTCTTTGAACTTGACAACTGGGGGGTCGTAGTTGATGAGGGAGAATTTGCAAAAGGGATAATGGAGAAAGCCTACAGAAATTACAGGAGAGAAGCTAGGGAGTAGAGAAATGAAGGCCTGCATGGGTGCTATAACAGAGGCTGACAGAGGTATCTGACAAGAAGTTTCAAACAGCACGTATTTCCCTGCTCCCACTAATTCAGCAGGAGTTGCTGCCTCAAACAGAGGCAAAGTACTGCTATTAAGGTAGCAGATGGAATATGGTCAGCAGCACCTAGCTGATCCTACACCTACACACATGCACCCTTCACCTACCCCTTCACAGAGTTCCATGCCCCTAGGAATAGCACGAGACGCACTATTGAAAGGTACTAGTAACCTGACTGTTAGCATTCACTTAAACTTCTCAGCTGTTGGGGGGGAGTATTTTTAATGGAATTGCAAATGAGCATAATGGCGCTTCCACGACTAAGTCTATAGTTGTTGACAATGATTAAACTACAGCTACTATTAAACAGGCAAATTGAGTTACTGGGACATGCTACAATATGCTTGCCAAGAAGCGAAGCCAGACAAGGACTGATTGTATGTATGTGGGTGTGCAGAAAGTGAAAGCTGGTTTTAGCCCAGCAGTGTAATTCTGCTTCAGCTATTATTTGATGTCCCAGGACATATGTGTGTGTATGTGTCCATGTATGGAAAGATCTTTTTGGAGCTATTATTTTTGACAAGACCTGAGACAGAGGTGTCAAAAACAGAAAGAGAAAACAATGGGTGTGTGCAGTGTGACTTGAAGAGAGCTACAGAATTTGTAACTAACTGCTGCTGACCTGATTAGGATTTTAATCTATACAAACGTGGGGGTAATGACAGGGAGAGTCTGCATGCAGACAGAGTAAATGTAACAACACCCCTGGCTGTTGGGCATGTGACAGACTATCCAAAGCAGCAGTATTCATGCAAAGTTGATACAGGTGGATCAGTTAAAACATTTTTAGCTAGACATCACTTTAAAACTCTAGCATAGACAAGAACAGTTGTGCTAGCCAACAGTGGTTACCTTAAATTTAAAGTTATTCTTGGGGCTCATCACCTTCCTTATGCTGCTGCTAAATGTAGTATGTTAAAAGACATCTCCAGAAACTGGTCTAGCTAAAGCTTTCAGGAAGCTAAAGCAAATGTAGTATACTTTAAACACTGCAGAAGAAGAAAGGAGGAAAAAAACCCCCATCAAAACAAAACAGAGACAAACTCTTGCTAGAATGAACTTCCCTCCTGTAAGAGTCTTGCATTTATTTGCTCCTTTGAAAAGTAGAGAGGTGAGACTAAGCATTTCAGGAGTTAACCATGAACCTTTCATTTAGCTTTCCTAATGCAGAAGTGCTGATCTTGCAGGCCTTCCTTTCAAAAGATGATACAAAAAAAGGCATGGCATTAAGGATTGCTACTTTGCTTCAAGGAGACCCTGAACAATTTAAGAGCAAAAAAAAATCACCAACATTTTCAAGTGTGCCTAAAGAGAGCTCCAGCTGTTGCATCTCTGATACAGCAGATGACTGACTTCAACACTTTGCTTTCAGCAATTTCAACTATTTTATTTATTTATTTAAAAAAACCTCAAACCCTGAAGTGTTTAGAACTCTGGTTAGAGCATGGTTTTCCATCCTCCCTGAGCATGCTTGGTAGAGGGAAGGAAAGCGTCTTTTGCAACTCAGGAAAAAAAAGAAAAGGGACTACGCAATGAGGAAATAGTGGGTACCATATTCTGTCCTTTTGTGTGAAGGGAGAGGCGACAGACAGAAGTAGGTCTCTATAATTTTATTCTCATTACTTACACAGTCACTGCACTGTGCTACAAGTTATTAACTCACAGCATCCTACTGCATGTTATTAGCTTTGCACAAACCTAGCAGAAAGGAAGATTCTGCTTATGGTTAAATGATTGCTATCAACACTTGCTACTATCTGAAGAACAAACCCCTTTTGTTAGAGGATGCAGTCATCATCTTTAAAAGCTATATATAATTTCAGTAATCTTTTCCTAATGCTTCAGATGCATGTATTGAATTTGAATTGGTTTACAGTTAGTCTTATAAAGTTCTGCTTGTTCTTCTTCCAAAGAAAATAGCAGCAAATTGCAAAATAGGAGGGTCCTGTAGCAAAATATGTAGTTATTACTAAATAATCAATCAAAAATTTTTTGTAATTGACAGTCCTGTTTCATTTCTTTGCATATGTTATATGTTGCAGAATTGACTCAGACAAACTCTACACAAGTATATTCACAAAGATAAAGCAAAACAGTTTTCTGTATTACCAAGTTAAGGAAGTTGGTGCTGTTTGGCAAGTAATAATTCGCCTCTTTATTGAAGAGGAAGGTGGATGTGATCAGTAAGTGCTTGTCAATTTGCATCCTGCCTCCTGCTTTCATGCCTTCTTTCCTCCTGACTCAACTTCAGATTGGAAGATGAGGCATGCAGAGTTCATGGGAAGGTGTATGTGAACAATATCACAGAACTGAAGTTCAAGAAACCCATAGCCTAACATCCAGAACGAGTAAATCATGTCTGCATTAAGTTTCAGTTAATTGAAGAAATAGCCTATCACTGTAATAAAATACACAAGGAGGTTATCACTTCTGTAGACCAATGTCCATATTTTAACCTGTTTGAACTAATGTGCAGGGGCTTGCAAGAACAAAGTTGATGCTTTTTTTTCTGTGGTGAGTACGGAAAAGCCAAGAGCAGCAACATTCAAGAAGAACTACTTTCAAATGCCCAGCTGTACACACTGACCATCTCAACAAAAAGGAAAAATGAATGAAGACTAGGAAGAGAAGGAAGAATGTCCTTCTCACTGATGTCTTTGAGAACTGTTATTTAAGAGTGGCTCTTCCCAGCACCATTAAGGTTTGTTCTCCTGGAAAAACTGCTGACAGTGAGATATAAAGCCCCCTATTGCACAAGTTCACCGTGTAAAATATGCATTGTGAATACTTTTGAACAGCCTAATCTTATGCACTGTTTTTCCAGTGTGGTCCTTTGTACAGCAAAGTATGTACAGACACAGTCTCAGCTAAGCATAATATTATGAACTGGTTACACAAGAACTGCATCCTTATACAGCAGCTCCTGCCACATCAGCTTCTGCATTGAACCACAGCTTACTACTGCTTCTGTTATTTTTGTTCTGTATGCAGAATTCTAATCAGGTATTTGAGTGATGAAATAAACAGCTGGTGCCAATAAATACAGTTATTTTTAAGTAGTGTTGTCTTAAATGTTTCTATTTGTTTTCTAGGTATAAAAGTTCCAGAAGCATACAAAATTATTTTCAGCATGAATTGGCTACAATCTCATTGTGACATTAAGGGATTACTTTATGATTAGACCACCTCTTTGCTGTTCCACTGACTGATGACTGACAATTTCAGTAACTATGCTACAACAAAGAGAATGTTAATTCATTTGTCTGGGCACTTAACTGTGTACACATCAACTGTGAACACAGGTGCTGTCAATTATTCCACTGATGCATTTCTTGGAATCTATTATAAAACTTATATTTTTATGACACCATTATTATCAGTTTTCTTCCCTAGCAAGTCTTTGTATTGAGATAGTCATGGTAAGATTTAAAAAAAAAAAAAAAGGTGCTTTCATCCCTTAGAAACTTATACCTAAGTTGGAGCATAGTCACAGAAGGAACTGCTATGATTGTAGAATGAACTGAACACCACAATGAGTATAAAGTTAAATATAAACAGAACATTGTGTTCAAGGGGCCAGGGGATTACAACTTGTCCAAAAGAAGAAAGTAATGCAAAATTCAAGTTTTGAATGTATATATCACCCTCCATGGAGTAAATGAAAGTGGTTAATATTACTTTTGGACTGCTAAAATTGCACCAGGTCTCTTCCCAGGGTGTTGTCTGTGCACTACTGAAGAGTAGTTCACATTCCCAGGTACCTCATTTTACACTTAACATTGCTTCTCATTCAAGACACTAAACTGCTTCAAAACAGAAACCAGTGCAATTAAGGACAGGCTCTGGCATAGCAACATTCATATGCAATTCTTAGTTTTCCTCAAAGCCTTGGCTTGCACCCAGCTATAGGTTTGAAACTCGATAAAAAGGCAGAGCTGCTTTACATAACTTACCTTTACTATATAACATAGCCATCTTGTTCACGAATTGCACACAGTTTTATAATTGAAAGTACCATATTAATTTGAGGACAAAATGGGTGTAGGTGTCCCATGAATCAGGCACACTTTGAATTCCAAACAATTTTCAAAACTGTTTTTAAATACTCGCCTTGATATTCTCTCTCCCTCTAATGCATTCCATTGTTTTTTAATTAGCCTTGTATTTCTAGTATCTAAATGATTAAGAAACAATAGTTATTCCTCTGCTTATTCATTATGAATACAGCCCACTATGATTTGGAATATAGCTACTCTAGGTGCAGAAGTAAGTTGTCAAAATGCATGAAAGAACATTTAAGACATTTTAAAACTTTGATGCCAATGATATAGTGCACAGTATGCATTTGACTTACTTAAGAGTATGAACAACTTGTTCATTTGATTACTGTATCTACCCTCAAAATTAAATTGACCAATACTCAGGCTACAGTAGATTTAGCCAGATTTGCTTACAAAATAAATCACTAAACTTGAACCCAGCAGAAATATTATCCTCCCTTTCCAAACTGGCAGAAAATATTGTCCACCTTCCACCAATTGTAAATTCAGCTTGAAGTTACTGGCCTAACGTTGTTATATTCCCCATTGATATTTCTTACATGAACTTACAACAGAAATGGTGCAAAATAGCAAGACCTGTTGGAATAGGCAGAAAGGAATTCGAACTTTAATCTGATTGATTTAATTTTTTTTTAGCAGGAGGAAAAAGAATAAAGTTACAAGATTCTTTTAATATTTTCACAATGTTAAACTAAAACTGAGCTCTAGGCTACATGTGTAAGTAAATCTAGAACACAAAAGGGTTAAATAAGATCTTCTTTTAAGATACAAGAACTTAAGCTTGCTTTACGTTTAACAAACTTCACAGAACAGGTACTGCAAAGGAACAACCCCCTCCCCAACTTCTTGTTTAAAGTGAACATTGTCCATAATTCACATGAACTTTAAGTAGTGTTCTCTCAAGAGCCACCTTGAAACCATCTGTGCACTTGTAATGAGATTAAAGAGAATATTGAGGAACAAAATAGCATCTTCAGTATTAATGCAGAAAAGTCTTGCGTATCAATCAGAATGCCCATCAAATGCTATGGTAGGATTTTGTAGGAAAAGAAAGTGTGTATCACAGCAGCCGCCAAAATCCATGTTTTTTTAAACTCCTCATGGCAAATGTAAATAATACCCTTGGATAGTCCCTCTCACCAGGACCAGTTCCTGAAAATGCAGCACATCATTACAGAAGATTTTGCTGCTGGTTTCAAGTTCTTGAACAATAACAATAATAAAAAAACCAGCTTGCCTTTTGTATAGCTTGCATTTTATAATGATGGGACACTTCTGATTTGCTTCATGGTTAATTAATACTAATACAGTCAGATGCTGAGTGTGTGTGTGAAGAGACATATATATTCTTCTCTTTTTTTTAAATTAGTTGTCTCCTTGTTAAATGCTCCTAACTGGCTACCAAAGTAGCAATATAATTTGGCCTATAAGGAGTTAGTTACCTGTAACAAGTAGAATGGAGGATGACTCGTACAAACTTACTCCCAAAACGCTGGGGTTTTTCAAGTGACACGTTACTTCACCCCTCTGATGTTTTATATCTGCCCAGTATTTGAAGACGAGACAAAAATCTTTCCCTCCCTCAGGTTTTCTTACAAATTTACCCGATTGTTAATACCTTACTAATAGACTGAGAAGCTAAATTCACTCAGGATTAAGCTGGGCCCCATCGGTACAAATCCTTTTTACCTGCATAAACCCTGTGTGCAGCAGGAGACATGCCGATTATTAAGTAAGTTTGCTTTTTTGTTTCCAAACTGACAAGACTGGTGCAATTCAGCTCAGCTCAACATGACATACCATAATACAGAACCATAGGTCTAAACACATCTGAAACATTCTACTCCATGTAATGCTTTTCACATTCACTTGCTATACTTGCTTTGCAATAGATGCGGGCAGAGATTTTCATGAGAGTGTTCAGCTGCATAGAAAAAGGGCTGACATAGCCCATTTGATTATCTCATTGACACTCTGGAAGTGAGGAACACAAACTCAATCTGATAAAGGGTGTTTTACCGGTTGGTTCCCCAATACTGTTACCAAATTCCGTTTGCTACAAAATGTCCTTTCCCCCCCCCCAATATATAAGTCTAGCTACAGAAAGTCAGTCTGTAGAATCCAGCCATGGCTACTGTGCTGTGAATTAGCCTTATTTGATCAATTATCAGATACCTGCACTTAGCAAAAGGCAAACAAGAGCCAATCAGGTTTCGGCCGGTGGGAATGGCTGCACTGCTCAAGGTAGGTGGAATCTGTTCACACAACTCACAGAATCTCTGTGGATGCCATGTAAAAAGTATGCACCATTTACTGCTCTGGGATGGAGTTGTCTTTAAAGTGACATCATAATTTAACTGAGAAGAAAGAAAAAAACCAAACAAAACCAAACCCTGATAGGTTCTTTATAGTAAGATAGATATAAAAATTTTTCATAAGAATCTCTGTCCCCCTTTCTTTTTGGCTTCCTGGGAAGAACCAGAAAGATGTTCCTACCCCAACAGAATCCCTGATGCTGGTGACACTGCCTAATTCAAAAGCCACACGCGATGAAGGCACGAGTGACCAGTCAGGTCTTCTGGGCTTAAGCAGCTGCAGTTGCTGCTCTTAGTAGTATTTCACCTCCTCAGGATTCACTAGCAGTGAAGAGGTGAAAGGCTGCACATTAAACAGTTTGTCTGAAAGCCATGTGCATAGCAAACTTTTACACCAGCTTCTGTACAACTAATTGTTTTAACTCTGCAGCTGGAATGTTTCCAGCATAAGGCTTTTAGAGTGACTCCAGCAATAACAGAAGCCTTTGGATTTTTCTTGTTTTGTTTAAATCCACTAGCCATGCTCAAAAATAATATTTCTTCATGTTTTATTTTTATACTGTGGCTAGCAGGCACCTTAGTAACCAGCCAGAAATCAACTTCAACCACCATCAACCCCTAAACTACAGTACCAGGACGGTTGACTAAAGAAAGGAAACTGATTGGCTGTAGTCTGAAACTTGCCTAGTACAAGGTGTCTGGCTGACTTTGTCCTAAATAAGGCTAACATTAGTGAACTAAGAGAACAGCATTTGGTTGCAGTCTTGCACTCAGGAACATCCTTCACCAATGCGTTGGCAAGATCTCCCTACTTTCCGATCCAGTTTCACCATTTTCATAATGGCTTCCTCACGCCCACGTCCCATGTGGTCAAATGTGCAGTCATGTTGTTCAGGCAGGCGATGTAACATACAGAACACATAACCTACCATGGAAAGGGAGAAAAAAAAAATATAGTTAGGAACTTGGTTAAAGTGGCAGAATCTTACCTGAATCAGAAGTGAAGGATCACCTACTGGGGGATTACTCAGTTCCCAAAAATTAATGCCAGCTTTAAGTTTTTAATTATCTTCCCTTACAGGGTAAATAAAGCTCTGATTATTTACTGCATTTTCTTGAGTATTTATCAACACAGTATCAAAGCTCAAGTCATATTAAATTTGGGTTGGTTTTTTTGCCATCCTCTCATCCTATAGATCATCTAAACTAGGTATGCCCAGATAGTAACAAAGCTAATGTTTCAAAAGAAAAGTCTGATTACCTTAACTGAAATCTTTTCTGCTTTATGTACAGTTGGTTGTAATTTCTGAAATTCATGCCTATAGTACTTCAGGTTTAGCTCCCAAGCTAATTCAAGTCAGAACTGTTAAATCTAAGCACCTTGCTTCCTCCTTACTGCCAGCACCCCAAGTTGGCAGCGACTGCAGCAGAGTTCACTGCTCCACTACTGTTCCAGTTTTCAGAAGCTTCTCTTCATGAACTGTTCTGACACTAACCACGGGGGGTGAACAGGCATTTGACATAGGGACATGTCATGTCACAACATCTTGCTTTGTAGCTGAAAAGACATAGCTTATTGTCTCTTTGTTTAAAGCTAGTCAATGTTACTCAGTTTTCCAGGGAGCATGTGATTCAGAAACACATGTAGAAATACGTCAATACTTTTTCCTACAGGTGAGGAGGGCATCCTCAGTAGCCACCTCTTTCTAGTCTACAAAGAAAACCAGCTTTTTTCTTATTTGTCCCTAATACTTTATAAGAGTAAAGAAATTGCCTCCAATTTCCTACCTCTAAAATGAATGTGACATAGTGATAAGTAGTATTAAGATGATACAGTAGGGAAGAGAGTCAGACAGTTACAGGGTTCATGTAGTCCACCATATATGAAACGAAGTATGATACTGCCCGTGCTACAGTATTTTTCCTGCCTGATGGTGCAAAGAGCATCACTCTGCCTCTCACTGAATGCTTTACATTACTGCTGCTCCTTGAATGCTCAAAAGATATTAAAACCACAAATGATATTTGAGAGATAGAAAAGGATAAAAATGAGTGAATGATTGAGAGAGTGTGTGTTTGTGCATATATATACACATACACACACATATATATAAAAAAATGTGCGTAAAGTATTTCAAGCTCCTGGACTATAAAACATCAGTTGTAGGAGAGAACAACAGGCTATCTTTATGTTAGCGTGATTGTTAAGAAAACAGAAAGGGAAAAAGTATCACACATGGAATTATTCAAAAAAAACAAAAAAAGTGAAGAGAAATTGATTTATCTTTGTTCTTTGTTTCAATAGCACCAGCTATGAAAAGACACGTTTATTATCTGTGGTCAGCTTTGAAACCCAGTTCTAGGAACAAAGCAAAAAAGACAAGTTTTCTGTATTGGTATACACGATTCAGAAATATGGATGGAAAGATGCAGATTGAATTGATATGTATCTCGCCCCTTGTGATCATTGCCTCCACTTCAATCTCAGTCTGGGTCATACCACACTCAAATGTGACAAATATCTTTCTTGAGGTACCAAAAATTCAAGGTCTGATTGTTAAAATGAAAACATCCTTGGGACTATAGTTCAAATAGTGAACAGGAATTTCACTCAATTCTCCTACAGAAAGCAGGGACTGAAGGCTTCCCTTATTTCTTGAAATAAGACTTCAAATTATGGAACCAACGTCCACTGCAGGCACAAGAATACATAAATACCTGACTAGATGAGCTCAAAAATCAAGTTCATCATCTTATCTGTAATGGATGTGTAAGAAGCAGATGCAAGAATCCCTGCAGATACAGATTGGGCTGATGTCATTTCAGCTCCTTGTAGGTGAAAACTAGTTTTAAATCCTGACAGCTTTACAGATCCTCTCCACATGGTTAACAAGCATATGAAGAAATGCTATTTAATGTTATCTAAAAGAGACCTTGAACATGTATACAATCTTCACCAAGACCCTTTTGACAATTCTATAAATCTAATAAGAAACTACATATACAACATGATTTATCACTTTGAACATGACCTTTCAATTGCCACATCTCCTTACTTTCTACAAAGCCTCCTGCTTTTTGTAGACCAGTATAACTTCATGATGTTCCTTTGTACTTTGCCACACCCCCGATACAATCTAAACTGTGCTTTGCCACATCTTTGTTTTTTTGAATACCTTTTAGTTCTTTTTAGAGCACCTGTTTTCATGTAGGAAAATTTGTACTGTATGCATGAAACATTATTTATTTCTTCTGTTTGTCACGTATTTCCTTATGCATTCTTGAACAGAATTTCAACAACTGTCCACAAAGCATGGCAGGTGATTTTAATTTTCCCAGATTATGGGAAAAATATTTCTAATTTCAGCAACTAAATGATTTAATCCTGTTATTCATGTATCTATTTAAATATGTATGGCTAATTAGAACTGATAATACCTAAAGAAATAATACCCAAGCACATTTTGAATGTTACTAAAATATTTTTGCATATATTGGCTGTTCTTACGGAGGGGGTTTATTCTTGTTGCATTAGCAATGGTGATCTTTTGGAACCCTCATTTCCAGAAGAGACTTCTGATCTTTAGTCCCATTGCTCCAAATGCCTAAGTCACTTTAAAGATTGGAACTTGTATTTTTGTAGGTTTTATTTAAAAATTTAAAGGACCTGAATACTGTTATATAGTAGCTAGTTGAGTAACAGTAGTTCTGAACATTTTTTCATTAGTTCAGAGTAGATATATTCAATTAAGTTATTACTGCTATAATCACTCCTTGCCTCTTCACTGGTCTGGAAATCAGAGTGGACTTTCTGTGGTCTGTGTGTACACAAGTGCCTCATGTCATACCAAGACCATCAGTTTTTACAGCAGTTCCATTATGAACTTATGTGCACTGGGGCAGAACGCCAATACGTGATCTGTAAAACCAATCCATATTTAGAGGTGAAACCTTTTCTCCTGAGAACTCTGCTTTTATGGTTATAAAGCAAGTTAGATAAATGAACTTTTGCGGTGTATTTACTGTTAAGTTCATTATGGGAAGATATCAAATATAGGTTGTCTCCCCTAAAGGATTTTACTGCAGAAATGCTTCTTTTAGCACACTACAACTAAAAGACAAAATAAATAACTTTCTGATAGGGGAAAGAGCATTAGAAAAGGGAATCCATCTGCCAACTAAAGTTAGTTTACCCTAGTCATCAACCAAAAATATGCCAGACTTCCACTCCAAGCGTAGAAGATTTCAGTCTAGTAAATGTAATAATACATCTCACAGCATTGCAATTGTTTTCTGATGTTAGAAGTAAACTATGAATCACCTACTCCTCAGGCCTCTAATGCAAACATCTTGGAAAAACATTATATAGTGCCTCAAAACCTTTGAGCTCCTCTAAGCACCCCAGAAACTACTTCACAATATATCATCAAAAATTCACTTCCATTTCATCACCAGAGCATAAATGGCTAAAGCCATAAAGCAGTGTACCATCTCTGCCTTACTTGTACCCATACAGATGAGTCTTTTGTGTAGGACATTAAAAAAAAAAAGAAAAAAGAAAAAAGAAAATCATTCAAAGGAAGTCTGAGATCGCACACAAGCAACTGCAAAGTTGCTTTCATCATTCCTGAGGAATCTGCTGGGAAAAGGCAATTGGAGAGGACAGAAAGCAAATCTTCCATATTCAAGACTAGAGAATACCACAGACCTACAGTTTGCAGTCATTTTTCATCATCACCCCCACACAGCATTTTCCTCATTGTTACATTCAAGAGCACTGGCTAGATGGGAGTATGGAATGACAATAAGCAAATATTTCAACTAAAACCTACATTTAATTCTTAACTCTCCATCTTCAAATTCTGAAAACAGTAAGCTGCTAAAATACCAATAAAATGATATGTGAAGCATCAGAAACAATTAAACTAAATGGCATAATAATCCACAACACAAAAGCCAAATTGTCATTTTGGAGGGTCCCTGATTTTTTGTAAAATTTCTTCTTTTCTCTTTGTTAACAGAAAGTGGTCAGACTTTCTGGAACACGGCACAAATGCCCAATAATTGGATTACTGCAAACTACCAATGTAGAAGTACAGCACGCTGTTCTGACTACTCTAGTAGATGTCCTTGGCCAGGCATGGAGTCCTAGACTCTTCTAATGTACTGCTGGAGAACACCACACTGTAACGTAAAATATACAATAAATATAATGATCCCTGTTATGTGAATGGCGTTGTGATAGAAAGGAAGCTTCTTTTTCTTCCACCCTGAGATTCTGGTCCTGATCTCATCGATGAGACATTCAGAAAGCTGCTAAAAGAAGACAGATTTGTTTGTAAGCGTGTTTTGAAAGAAGTGGTGGAAGTGCCAACCAAGCTTATTAAATATTTATACAGCTTACACATTTTCAAAGTGTCTTAAAAACATTTAAAAGTGTCCCTGTTTGCAACATCTTGATGCATATTACCTAAAAAGTAGTTGCATGCTGTTTTTTAAGAATAGAGAACATATTTGGACTTTTCCATACAGTGAATGTGTCATAAGATTAATACAGCAGTTCCATCTACTGAAGAAAACTGAACTTCGCTTATGTAGACGTACATTTTTGTGTTTCTAAAAGCTAAGCCGTTCAAATATCATTGCCAACATGAAAAGACAGAAGCCCTTCATTACCAAGTATCATCAATCATCTTAATTGTTCAAGGTAGACATTTATGTTTTCATTGCCTGTAGTAACTGCTCTGAAAGTTTAGCCTTCTATACTACAGTGACCCCTTCTGATTCATTCAAAGAAGCTCCCATTGGTAGGTGAAAGAAAGTGAAGTCAATATTGCCATACAAAACCAGAGCTTCTGACACCTTAAAATAATCTTACCTGCCCACTAGTCCTGCTATTTACCATTTTCATTCCCAAGTCAAGAG